TATTCTTTGTATTCAAGCCCAGAGCATATGCTGAACAAATTTGTGCTTGCAGTCTACATCTTCGGTCGGTAAGCGCGGCCCCTTCCTCCCCCGTGGCTGTGGCTATGGCAGGAGCAGGGGCTGGGGGCTGCAACTTACCCCAGCCCCAGGAGGATGCAGGCACGAGCCCAGGTCACAACTTCACCCTTCTTTGTTTCTCAAGTCACCTGCAAATAATCTTCCTGATTCACAGGTGTATGAAATTTGTTTGTAAATTTGTTTGAATTTGCATCCAAATAATTTATATGAACAAGTCACAGCCTAATATGAGATTTAAAAAATGGAAAAAGCATGAAATGAAAAATATTTTCCCCATGAGCACCTTCACTTATCAAAATAATTAAAGATCACAGCTACATTTTATATTAATTTATTAGAAAAAAGATACACAGTTTAATGTGCAAATATATACAACAAACATTACAATGAAACATCAGGAAGGCGAGCCCCTTCCCTCTATCAATGACTTACTCCTTCGTAACAGAGATGACTGTTTAATGCTTCCCCACAGATTTACAAATACAAAAAACGTATAATGCTTCATTTGCACAAGACGAAAGTTTATTTTTATTTGAACAAAAAATATTCTGGCTTTGACATGGCAAAAGTCTGCTATTTTGGTGGCTTTTTTTTTTTAAACCTGAGCAAGTTTTGCAGAACAGGGGAACAAAGGAAAGGCATTGCCCTGTGCTTCATTCTCATCACAGCATCTGATGGTCTTTGAATTACTGAACCACTGAATCACTTCAAGTGAATGCAACTCCAAAATCTACATCTATGATGTAATTAGTGACACGGAAGAGAGCGGGCACTACCGTTGGCAAAAGTGAGCTGGTTGAAAACACCTGGCTCGAGTTAAATGGCTGTTGACATTTCTCAGGTAAAGTGTTCCTATCTGCCAGTAAGGAATTTAATGCTGCCTCCTGTAGTAAAGGAATTATAAAAGGAAAGTACAGTTTAGTCCAAAAAGCAAATGAGTCTTGGATCCTGCTACGCCTTGCTCAAATGTGTGATCATTGAAAGACTGCAGAATAAGGCCATATTAAACCCGAACTGAGTAAAGACCTTGGGAATGCGTGTAACTCCCAGCAAGTACTGAAATCCTGCTCACTCCAGGAAAGAAGTTCAGATCAGACTGATTTCTTTATGATTCTTTAGGATGTATTTCAAGCAGGTGTTTGATGCAGGCTATTTTTGTATTCAGTGCCACAGACGATTTCAGTAAGAGAGATCCACCTCACCTCTGATCTCCCCCCTCCCGTGCCTGGGTGCTGGCACGCCGGCTCACTCACCGGCCGTGCCCACAGCGGGAGGAATCCAGCTGATCGCCCTAACAATAACCACAAGACTGAAACCATTTAGCTTGTTTGTTTTCCACATCGTCCTGCAACCCAGCTTCATCTGGCAACTCCACAGAGCGACATTTCCAATTAAGCAAAACCTATCCTGCTCGTTTAGCACTCCTCTCCATTTTAAACGCGAAACCCCAGTGGTGCTGGAGGAGGCACTACCCAAGGCCAGTTCCCCCAGGAGACAAGCGTTTCCTAAGGGACCACTGGCCGCCCCATGCTCATTTAGGTGCAGAGCCTCTCTCTGCATCAGCTCTCATGATACTGTTTAAAGGAATACATACAAATAACAACAGACCCACAGCAAAAAGAAGACACCAGCAGGAGTGTGCCTGGCTGACCCTGGAGCCAGCGCTAACCAAGGGCTCTTGCCTGGGCTACGTTTTCAGACATGACGCTGTCAAAAGCTGACTCAGTTTTCAGGTGCTTTCACAGATTTTCTTTCCTTTTGGCCAAGGGATCGGTATTTAAGAACAGACTTAATCAAACAGTGACTCCTTTTTGCTCTGTAACATCCCTCCTCTCCCACCAGCAGGCTCTACGGGTGCTGGCCCTGGTTGGCAGCCCATAGGTGTGCCGGTCGTGTACTACAGCAGGCGCTGCTGTGGCTCCGTTGGCACCAAAATCCTTAAGGATGGGTCAGCCACAGCAGATTTGGCCTTTGCCATCCTCCCACCATCCTCCTCCTCTTCAGCCTCTTTGGAGTATTGTGGAATTTGACTAAAACAAAAAAATAAAAGCCTTCGGGAAGGACTGCTCTGCTTTTAAAACTTTTTTTTAAAATTTCTTTAATTGCTCCTGTTTCGTGTGTTATGCTTACACAAGAATGCATGTCACGGAACCCTGGAGCAGCGGGTAAAAACAGACCTTAAATGAAAAATCTGAATAAATCCCCAAACTTAGCTTTTAGTTAAAAGGTGAATGTTGGAAACCAGTGAGCAGCATTTGATCAAGGTAAGAGAGTGGTGGGGGCAAGCAGGGGACACGCAGAAGTTGAAAGGGGGCTATTCTGATCCCCGGCAACTGTATGTTTATGTCCTTTTAGGGGAAAAAAATACCAAAAGAGCTCTTTCTTTTCTAAACTTCTGAATGATCCATTAGCCAGGTTTGTCAAAGTTTAAATATTTTTACAATAAACTAGAATAACAAGTGAGTCAGTTGCCTCCAATAACTTGGTGTTTTTCCACTTCAGAAGATTTTCTGACAGCATGAAAAGAAAACACTCCAGTCAAACATGAGCCGATTTGTACGCTATTGCAATCCGCATTGGAGACTGCCATGCCAGCACTCTGCAATTTGGGACCTGCAGTAGCACAGCACAATTTTACCTGCCCTTCGTGGATGTTTTCTGTCCCCTACTGTACATGTCTTAGCTGGTCTTTTAACTCTTTCAGTACTGCCGCATACTCCAAAAGCTTTCAGTGCCATGTATTATTTGTACACCTTGAATGAAAGGCAATTCTTTTAAGCAGAAAGGCAAACGTCTCTCTAACTGTGGTCCCTCCTTGCTTATCTCTCTCTAACACCTCTGTGGAGGCGCAGATCTCCACCGCCTCTCCCCAAACCCACTTCCCCTGTAGCAATACCACACCCAGGGCACGGTTGCTCAGAGCTCTCCTATATCAGTTTTAAGACAAAACAACTGGGTTTTAACAAACTAAATTTCACACCAGACAAGATTTATACAGAAAAGTCTGAATGCTTTTCAAAACTTTTATGAACATTTTAGAGCTTTGGTGGGGGGTGGTGGAGCAGAGTAGGAGGAAACAGTAGGTCAGCTATCTGCAGTATAAACCCCGGTTTTCCAAGCAGCTCTAGTCCAGGACACTTTATGCCCGCAGGCCTGGGTGCCCTGTTTGCCCCAGAGTCAATAAAGGCGCTGGTGAACCTCGTTGTTCTTGCAGGATAAGCTAATAAGAGCCTGGTCACCATGGATCCCCAGCTTTGTATTTGCTCTAAAGAAGCAGCGAGACTTGCAAGCACTTCAGCTCTCTTGAGGTAGGAGAAAAATGGTGTTTCTGTTAGGTACGCTGCCTCTCCCAGCAGGACGTGCGACTCGACCGCGTCTCTCAGCCTCCCAGAGTGCCCAAATGGCTGAAGCAGAATGGGTGCATGGAGGACAGTAAGTAGGAGCCTTGAAATGCCAGTGGTTTCTGCAATGACATTTCTACGACCTCTGTTTGGTAAATCAGCATTTTTGGGATGTCAGATTACAGTAATACAACGTGGCAGCAACAGGCACATGAAGGGAGGCCAGTGACTTGGCACTGTCAAAGAGGAAATCTTTCGTAAGGGTCCTGGCTGTCTGTCCTTGCTGACAGGATCAGACCTCTTATGGCTAGTGGGACTTGTCTGCAAGAGCAAAGCCTGCAAGATCAAATCCAGTGTGGGTCACTCAACGGTACTGCATACTTCCATGATTCAAGTGGCCGTGTGCCACCTTAAAATAAAGATTGCAGCCAAGCTTTTAAAGTTAAATATGTTATAAACTATACACATATGTGATCCTGAGATAGTGCCTGTAACAAGTCCCAAGATAGATAAGCTTCCTGAACCCAGAGGTCCTCACGCCGTGTAAGCGCATTGTTGTTTTATTTTGGCAGGCCTGCTAGCCTCTCTCGGAGCACGCTGCACTTCCTAATTCTCTTTTTTTTGGGGGTGGGTCTAGTGAAACAATCAGTTTGACGACTGCTACCAGCAATTCCAATAGCATTTCTTCTGCAGTTCAGATGAAAGCATTCTTGATCCTTTGCCAGTTCTCCCAAGACTTGCAGAAACAGGCTCACAGCTTCCCTTTCTATTTTTTGGCCAGCCAAGAGCTGTGTGCCTGCAGCCTCCTGCTAGAGGAGCAGCTGTGCTGTGCTGTGCCGAAGACACTCCTCAAGATAGGGGAGAAAACATCAGTAGGAATCAAACAGAAAGGCGACAAGTATGAGCCACGATGGAGAGAAGAAGCTTAATACGATGACCGTCGTCCAGAGGGTCAAAGACCACGCGTTCCAGTCCCATTGGTACATAGTCCTGTTTTGAGTTTCTGACAGCATCAGCTCAGTCAGACCTTTTAAACCTAGGGGAAAAATATTTTCCAAAATTCTCTTTGCTTAAGCACTATATATTCAAAAAGTTCGTTTTATTGTTTCAGTATTTTAGCCCTTAGTTGATTAGTCACCAATACCTGTCAGATGCCCACTGCCATAAAAGCACTCCGAGCACCTGCAGTATTTGTAGGAATATCAAAAAATAGCTTTAGCAACTAGGAATTATGCAACAGAGGGAGAAGGCAGGACTAACTAGATTAATGCAACATGTAGTGGATTTGTTAACATTAAGTGTATGACTCGTCACAGAATCATGCCAGAAAATGGTACCATGTAGCTTACTGGTAAGGGCAGTAAAAAGGGTAATGCATTACTTTAATCATCAGTGAACCACTCACTCATTCAACATACTATTTCCAGCTGAAATCAAAGGTTTCCATTAAAAATGCCATTCCTCTAGAGACCATAGGCATCTTACAACTCTCTCTGCCTTTGAACTCTACTGTGATAGCTGCTTCATTAACATTGTGGTTCCAGTGCAAAAAAACCCCTCCAGATCCCAAATCTTCTTCCTTTAGACTTTTGATTGCCTCTCATCTGTCCATTCATTCTGTAAAGCTTGAGTCTTCTGTTCATCTACCTGGACATAGTCCACTCTCTGCTCCTCAGAGAGAAAAGGTTTCTGTGGGAGAGAGAGGAAAAAACCAACGTATTAATTTTAGGATTGAAAAGGGATGCTATTGAAACTTGGCTTGATTTTCTGTTTTCCCTTTCCCTTGTTCCTTGATTGCTTCACTTCACCTTGAAGCTCACAGTGACATCAGCTGACAAAAGCATTGCTTTACAGCCTGCTTTAGCTATAATTATCCATCTGTCACCCTGTCACTCAGCCCAGCACAGTGAGCGAGGGAAACGTGCTGTTCTGGCTATTTCCATGCAGATAATCATTCTCTTCTCATCCGAGTGATCCTGCTGCAGGGATAACCTAACTGCATTTTAACTAAAGGGAGGGTTTAAATTTAAGAAAGCTTAGGAGTCTTGAGTCTTTTGCATCCAGGAGTATTAGCTGATGGGGAAAATCATACACAGGACATAAAATGGCCCAAACCGACAACAGTTTGTTGCTTTGCAATGGTACCTACCCACCGGCTGGGTAGGTTATAAGCTCTTTGGAACAAGGAATGTATTTTCTCAGCATTCCTAAGGAAATTGAAATGCTTTTGGTGATGCAAGAATAAAGATGCACATTTTGTCATGTTACAAGAGATGGTACAGTTTTACCCCGTGAATTTATCATGGGCTGTAAACTTGTTACTGCGAAGAGATTGGGGGGAAAACTAGCAGGAAAGAATTTGTGAAGACTTGATGAAAATGAAAGAGCATGCAGAGATCCTGCAAGCCCCAACAAGCTTGCCCACAAGCCCTCATAGCTGCACATCCCAGCGCAGTCTCGTGCCCTCTGCCAAGCTCGTGTTAATGGCATCCCTATAAGTCAGGCTAAGGACACCTTGTCATCACCCTAATAGTGCTTTTATTATATTAATCTTGAGCCTGCCACAAATGCAGGAAACACAGCTGGCTTCATCCTGATACTTAGGGCACCTAGCAGAGTCTGACTCTTGGTCTTGTTTTCCTTCCAGCAGACAAAAAGATAGGAGGCTGTGGGGTTTTTCAAATGACTCATACCTTCTGTACAGGGGATGGGGAAGCAGAATTAAAATCCAATGCTAAGTAATCAAGGTTAGATTTCCTTGTCCATGGAAAAGCACCACTGTATGGAGATGTTGCTTGTCTGTGCTTCTGTCGGGAAAGAAGAGAAACTTTTAACGCTCTTAAAACATGATCCCAAAAGGAAGCAGGACTACAACTGTGAGGTGGGAGCCTCGTCTGGCAGAACGCAAGTGAGGAGGGTCAGCACCCACGTAATTTTCTATGCTAAGGGTGCGTTTGGTGACTAACCACAGGATAAGAGTGATTAATTGCAGGATGGCATAAAGAAACTGTGAGAGCCTTTTTCTCCTGGTAATTATGGCAAAACAAGCAAACCAGGCTGATTTTCATTAGTGCTATCAGGAAGGACTTGTGCCCAGCTTCTCAATCCAAGCCCTTGGAAGGTTCAGATTTGCAGGGGTGCTCTCTTAACCATCTATGAGTTTGAAGAAATGGTGGTAATTCTGTTCAAACCTAGCAACTGAAAAGTAATCTCATGAAAATCACAGATGACCACAAATGTATGGAAGGTTTTATTTGACTAGAAAAATCAAATGGGGAGTAGTTACAACTGGAACTGCCCTCCTGAGCAGATTTTGATCTAGTAGAGGTGTGGGTTAAAATTTGAGACTATGGTTCATGGAGATTGTGGTCAGTTTTGCAATATATTTCTATAGCCATTGCCATTAGGCTTTGGCTATGAGGCCAAATCTGTAGACATTGGCTCAAAGGATTTGAGATCCATTTCCACCTAAAATTCAAAGGAAACTGAGATTCTGATCTTTTGCAAGATATGCCTAAAGAGTGAATGAAGAAAAGGAAGCCACAAAGCCAGATGTTCTTCTTTCATGGGATGGGAAGTGGGGTTAGTGCCACCAGCCAAAGCAGAAGCAATAAGAGACTTTAATGGGAGTTCTGTTTCTGCACAATATTTGGTGTGTTTCTTAGGAAGTGCACTAACGGCTTTCTGTCATTTCCTAGGAGATTTTGCAGGGCACACTTTTAAAAGGTGAAAAGATTTAATTTTCCTTTGCCTTAATGAGTTCTCATGTAAATATGGCTGATCCCTGTGATCTCTTGGAACTGCTCAGCAACATTCGTGGGCGAACAGCTGAGTTCTGCAGAGCAGAAGAAGGGCTTCTCTTATCTCTCCGTAAATTGGTCCCAGTGTCTTTGGTTTAAAACCGTTTCATCATTTTTTTAAAAAACAGAAGGCAAAGGAACAAACCTCCTCAACATTTTTTCTTAGAAAACAAACTTCTGCATTCTCCATCAATGTGACAGAGCAGAATAAAGCAAAGGATGGCTGTGTGAAAATGAAGATTACCATATGAATGTAACTTTCTTCCTCTTCTCCGGAAACTGAATTGGCAAATATTCTTGCTGAATTAATACCGTCTCTTTCTGGTGAGATAAAGCTCATTCGATTGCTATGAAGAAAAACACAGGAGAGGTTAAGGAAGCATCTTACAGATGCTCTGAAATGAAGCCAAAGCCTGACACAGTCCATATGGTGAATAAACTCACACTAACGCTGCAGCCTTTATGGAAAGGATGTCCAAAACCACTCCTTAGTTCTAGAAAAAGTGTGCTACATCGCTATGAGTGTTTTTGTTGATTTTTTTTCCTGGGATTTATGAAAGTTTGCCGTCTCTGGTATGACAGAAAGCATAAACCATTGGAGCAATTCTCCAACAAGGAGCACAGAGACAGATATCATTCATCCGGGTAATATATGCCGATGGGACAGTTACTTGTTGTGCGGGTATTCACATTTTGGAGATTGATGTGAATTAATCAGCTACTGGAGGTGCATGCAGAGGAACTTATCTGGCTTTGAACACAGTGTAAACAGATGCTATCTGTGCTACGGAGATGGCTGTGACTCAGCCCTTGTACAAGGAAATCTCTACCACTAACATAGCTGTCAGAGGTATATCGTGAGTAAATTATTGCAGGCCGGCACAATGGGGTTAGTTATTAGGAAATTAGATGGCCACTTTGTGCAGCACGAACAGTATAATTCCTTTTGCTTTATTAGTTCCGGGCATACTACTTTTTTAGTTTTGTTAATGTAAAACATGCAAACTCCCTCTGAGCTTGTTGTCCTTCAGGACTCTGCACTGTGTCAGCACTAATTAACCACAGCGCTCTGGCAGGGATCCTTGGGAGGCAGGCTACTGGGGTTTCCCTAACAGGCAGCATGTGGCAGGCAGCACCGAAGGGCCTGACCAGCTTCGGACTGTGTGGCTGAGAGGGGTCTGCAATTGAGAAACTGCCCATCTTGTGTCCCTTCTGCCCTCCAAATGACTACCTGAGGCAGGGGAGTGGAAATGTCCTGTCTGGCACTCATGCTAGTGAAAAAACCACATTTTCCAGAGTGCCCAGGGTATGCAGAGGAGGTTGGTGGGAATTCCTGGTTTTGCATGCACACTTCAGCACAGCTGGCTCTCCTGTCAGCCTTTCCCCATAGCGCCGAGATCCCCCCAGCCAGCAGGCTGCAGTCCTCCCCTGCTCATGAGTTCCCTGAACATGAGTCTTTCACTGCCCTTGGAGCCCAATAGTATCATCTGTTCGTACTACGTGGACCTTGGGACCAAAAGCATTTGTTTTACCCCACAACTAATTTCCAGTGACAAAAGGTCACACCCACAGATCAAGTCTGAATTGCTGTGTGGCAGTGCAGAAGTCTACACCCAGGCTACAAGTCAGGCAGATCTTTATCTTATCTGGTACTCCTTTGCTATATTAATTTTCAGGAACAAAAATGGCTCTATCACTTTGAAAAAAAATAATTAAGGCATGCAAAGCTTTTCGTTATTGCAGCAGCCACACCAGAGTGCAGACCAGCTCCAGCATTTTCAAAAGGAACCTTCAAAACAGACTGAGCATCACTGCGTGATGCTGAACGCACTGGAGCTGCCCGTCGTGAAAGGGAGCCTTGCTTTTTAGAGACAGCAAAACCCTGGGGGGTGCTGGAAGGAACCCTGAGGAATTTTTGTTTGTGGACTTTGCCAGGCAACTGTTTCTTGTGGGATGTGATAAGTTCTTTTTAACTCCATTCCACAATGTTAATGCTTAAAAGATTGGAACCACAGCTTTCTTGTTGACTTACTAAGGCACAGTCCACATCCTGGTCACGGCAGCATGCTCCCGGATTGTGGAGAGGTTCCTCAAGTCCAGAGGAGGTGGCCGTGCTGCAAGTAGATACAAAAGGAACTACATTTCCAATAGCAGAGCTAATGAAAAGTACAGACTGTTTAGAAAAATGCAGTCTTATATTAACAGCAAGAAACTAACAGAGTATTTCACAGAACATAACTGATATAAGCAAGACAGTAACAAATGACCACTTCAGTTAGCGCTGGAAAGCAAAGTCCCTCATTTACCCTAAAATAACAGAACAAATACAATGGGCATAAGGAGAGCAAATGCCTCACAAGATCCATATGCTTGCCTCAGATCTGCTCTGCATATGCCACCTTCAAGAGCAGAGGCCAGTTCAGCCTATAGGTGAAACCAGGTTTTGGGTTCTCTTCTAAACAAAAAGGTCCTACACATGGAGATCAAGCTCATTCCTCTCACCAGTCCATGTACATTTTCCACCCTGTTCTCAAAACCCTCTAAGAAACGACCTGAGCTTGCTTTGCTTCCTGACAATGGTTTAAATTTCTGTCCCCACTTCACAGTAGCATTTCCTGAACCAATTTCTGAGTAGCCCTGTGGCTCTGCAGCCCAAAGAGCTTTAATGTAGGCTAGGCTTAGGCAATTTCTCCATTGCAAAGCTGAATTTTATCCCCAGTATATCCTCTGGAAGTGCAACCCAGATTTTGGAGATGCCATGAAAAGCAGGAGTAGAAAATTACCATCAGTAAAAGCATCTGCAGGAAATTCCTAATTAAACCAAGACAGCTGTGCCTACCCAACAGAGGTTTAACTAACAACCCACACATCAAGTTTGAGTATTTGAGTGTTTGGATGTCCTGTTCCTGGAAGGTCAGAGAGCTGGTGAGACAGCAGTACACGTACTTCAGAGCTGCAGGATTTAGTCTGCTGTCTCTCCAAGGCTATGCCCATTTGGTGATTTGCAGTTAGAGTGGACCTGAAGCCATGCACCATGCTAATGCAGCCACCCAGTCTCTGACTGCAAAAGTAGGCATGGACGCTCT